GGATCCCCAGGGACGCGTGTCACGCGTCCCTAGGGATCCCGCCATGCGTATTCCCGAAAACAACGTGAAGCATTGCCCGTGCCCGTGTCTGCACGAGCTTTCGCTCCAACAATCGCGACGTAGCAGACGGCGACCCTCTTCAGGGTCGGGCAGCATGTACTATCTCGTCTCGTGCAGAGCTCACATCATTTGCAACGGCATTGCAGGGGCGGAATGTGCACGGCAGTGGACGGACAGTGGTAGTGGCGATACTGCCCGATGTGTGATGTGATGGGTCTGGCTGCCCCAGCCGAAGAAACTGACAGCCATGGACCGACCGCACACATGACGAGGCTATTGTTGTCGAGGTCTGTGGTTGTTTCGTTCAGATTCGGGCTACGGTGTGCTTGCACGACTGTCGTATAGCTTCGGGCAAACCTCGTCGAGGAGTCGATGTGCCTGGCAATGGTTGTGCGATCGTTTCCAAATTCATTACGGCCTCGTCGCCTTCAAAGTTCTGGACCCTCAATACCTGCTGTCGCTATCGATGTGGTTTCCGCCGCGCTGTGTGGAAGTCGACGGTTCGGTGCCACGTACTTTCACACACTGGCGTGGCACATTGCAGCGCAATGGGGAATGCCAATTGAAGGGCACTTGTGTCAAGCAGTTGTTGCGCCAGTTCAGAAGTGAAGGAGTTCAGACATGAAGGGCACGGATCCGAAGGGGACGGACGGAGAGGGGCCGAGGGGAGTTGGAAGCAAGAGGCATCTGGAGATCCCTGAAGGACCTCGAAAGGCCCCTGGGAACCCAAAGAGGGCAGAAATATCCCTAGAATATTGATCCTCTATCCGCTAGCCGCGAAGCATCGGGCTGGAGGAGGAGGAGGAGAAGGAGGAGGAGAGAGAGAGGGATGGAGGGAGGGAGTGGGAGGAGGGAGGGACGGATAGAAAGAGAGAGAAGGAGGATAAAGGAGAGACGAGGAGAAGAACGAGGAGGGAGGGGGGCGGGAGGGAGGGAGGCATGATGAGATTGAGTGAGAGAGAGGGAAAAAGAGAGACAGAAACAGAGAGAGGGATGATGGTGATGATGATGATGACGATGATGACGATAATGATGATGATGATGATGATGATGATGATGATCATCATCATCATCATCATCATCATCATCATCATCATCATCATCATGACGATGGTGCTGATGTTGATGCTCCTGCTGATGATGATGCGGATGATGTTGGTGATGATGCTGATGCTGATGCTGATGATGATGATGCTGCTGATGATGATGATGATGATGACGGCGGTGGTGGTGATGACTATGATGACGATGTTGGTGCTGCTGCAGATGATGATTATGTGGATGTAGATGATGATTATGATGATGATGATAATAATGATGCTGATGATGATGATGATGATGATGGCGATGATGATGCTGATGATGATGATGATGATGATGATGATGATGATGATGATGATGATGATGATGGTGATGTCGACTAGGAGGAGGAGAAGGAGGAGGACAAGGAGAAGAACGAGGAGGAGGGATAGAGAGAGGGAGGGAGGAAGAGGAGAAGGAGGAGGAGGAGAAGGAGGAGGAGGAGAGAAGGAGAAGGAGAGAGGAGGAGCTACGGAGGGATAGCGGGCCGACGGCGCGCAGGAGGGGGGGGGGGGGGGAAGTGGCAAGGCCTCCTCGGGCGGCAGGGGAGGGCGGGGGCTTCGTAGAATAGAGGGGCCCAGGGGCACACAGATGAATAGACACAAATCCCAGGACTCCCCAGATGTTTGTCATACTTTCTGGGTCTTCGTCTCGCCCCCCCTCACTTCCCATACTTTCTCACATGTTCCCGGTAGTCGACGTTCATCTGGATCTGTGTGCTTTTCTGCTCCTGATAGATGCTGGCCCTACCTTGTGAAGAAGGCTTCTCGGCCCTCTCGGTGCAGATGCGCAAACCTTGCAGCCAGGATCGAGGATCGAGGATCGAAGGCCGAAGATCGAGAACCGATGATGTCTTCGAGGAGCGAGAGCCGAAACTGGGGGAGCGAGGTTCGAAGATCGGGGCCTCCAGACACCGGAGGAAGATCGACAACCGAGAATCGAGGATCGAGGACAACTCATATCGAGCGGGGTTCGCTCTCGTTCTCGTTTTCTTTTCGATGATGCGACTCCCTAGCAGGGCCAGAACAACAAAAAAACGCAATGACCATAATTAAACTGCCAAATCTTCGCGCGGATCTCTTGGATCGGCGCTGCACCCCCTTCCCCTGGCGCGCGAAGCGCGCCAGAGGCGTCGCCAGGGTGGGTCCAACGCCGACCCAAGAAATCCGTGCAGAGCTCCAAAGCTATGTGCTTATGCAGCCTCTTGCTACCATGTTCAATGGAAAAATAATCCAATTGGAAACTCGCCAGACCAACCCCTGGACAACCCAGACTACCCCTGCTGATTGCTGGCGACCCATGGCGCAACCCAGCGGGGTCCGGACCCCCCCCCCCGGAGAGCCCCCCCCCCCTTGGACAA